AGCCCTTACTATGAATGCTATAGCACAGCTATTGAAAGAGTACAACGGAAGTTTATGAAGTTTGTTCTGTTTAGGATTGATGGGACATATCCAGAGAGAGGTACAAGTAATGAGGAACTATGTAGTCGCGTAGACATGTTGACTTTGAAAAAACGTAGGGTACTGTGCCTCAATAATATTTGCCTATAAAATGATCAACAATTTAATTGATTGCCCCATGATCCTGGAACAGATCAAGTTTCGTACTCCAACGTTTGCATCTCGCAATCATAAAATATTCGGGCTACCTAGAGCTAGGACACACATTCTTCTCAAGTCACCGTTATATGTAATGTGCTCTAACTTAAACAGAATGGATGTTATTGTGATATATTTACGACAAATGTTAATTACCTGCTAAAGGCAGCTAAGGTTTATTCGGACAAATTACAAATTTATACCTGTGTTGCATTTGTTGTTTTCTTTTCGCTTTTTTTTGCTTTTGTATTATGTTTATAAATTGTCCTATAAATGGGAAACTGTTGGACAATAAAGCTATTATTATTATTATTATCAGCAATAAAATAAAAAAGTGACACTAAGCATGAAGAAACATACACAAGAACAATAAAAAACACTATAACGATCACAAAAATTTGAAACAGCATAAAAAAGAATTGAAAAGGAATTTTGAAAAGTCACTATTAAAAGATCCATCAAAGTTGTAGGTGCTTTATTGATCAAGAAGCGTTTTATTTTAATTTTGAAAGGCTCGCCGCTAAGCAGATTGAGTTTATCTGGAATTATAGAAGAGAACTGTGGTAATTTATATCGTTTATAGTAGTTTTTGGACGTTACCGTGGTAAATTTAACTAATGAGCATTTCATTTGTTACAGCTGCACGTTGTATACAAATGACGAGTTCCACGGATATACGATAAGCAAGACAACAACGGAAGGATTTCTATTTCCAGTTGGATAGAAGCCTATCTACTTGCATCCCTAAGTCCTAAACCACATATACATCTAACATGACGTCTATGTATTGCAAACATTTTTTGCATACGTGCTGAATGACTCCAGCCGAGGAGACATATTAGAATCGAAAATCCCGTAATATGATGTCAGTAGAACATTTTTTTTCTTTAAATCTCAACATGTATATACAGGTGTCTATATATGTTGGGGTTCTTTGCATGTAATACATGTGTTTCCAAGGTCATATTTCATCTACGAGTATAAGTACTCCTTGAAATTTAGCCGATTCAAGTGATTCAATCTGAAAACCAGAGACTCCGACTAATCATTATAGGTTTTCAAGTTACTAAACTGAATCCAAATTCAAGATGAGATGTAAATAATAACAGTGATCTCTCGGTAACAGGTGGGGACAGCGCCTCTTATTGGTCAATTCGCCATTAAATTTCAAGCGGTCGCCTGGCGGAATAATGCGCGGGGCAGGGGCAGGGCAGGCAGAGTTGCATTCAGGCCACCGACCGTCGCGTGTATCACTGCGTGCTCGTGTTTTCGTATTCACCTTGCTTGGTTGTTGCTGTTGTTGTTGTTAATTGTACTTGAGTAGCTTGTTAAGTTTCTGTTTCTGTTAAATACTGTCATCTTTGTTGTACAACACGTTGGTGGTAGTCCATCATTCGGAGGTAGCCCTGAATGCGGCCCTGTACGCCGTCCTTGCTTTTGGCAATCACGCATCCATTCTATCTATATATGACTGTTAACCATTGTTGTGTCGTCAGCATATAAGATTATTCGTTGGACTACTTTCGGGTAAATCATTGATATATCTCAAGAAAAGGATTGGGCTATGAATTGAGCCCTGCGAGACTCCACTGTTGACTTGAAGTTGAGAAGAGAGAAGAAGATCTTGTTGGTTGTAGTATTTGGTCTTAATTATTACGTAAACAGACTTGTAATATACCTTGTGCCTTAGGTAGAATTAGTAGAATTAGTCTAATCATATTAGACGAAAACACCCCTGCTTTGCGAAATAATTGTAAAGTCTGATTTTGTTTCTGCAAATTCTTCAAGGGGGTATTCAAAACATGGACGTATAAGATGGGTACACTAATTTTTGTGGGAAAACCTTTTATTCGAAAGCGAATGAGAAAACAAGTTTTTTGGTATTCTTAGGTATTTATCAGACCTACAAAATGATCCGACTAATAGTAAAACTTTATGGCCGAAAACCGAGGCAAACTGCAGGTTTTGGCACTTGTTGGTAATGTGACGATGGTTTCTCGCAGATGCTTCAAATTCGTAGGATTCGTACTTCTTAATAACCACAACAAAATTGGAGTAGATTGGTTATGTAATTTTTGAGAATTGTTTATTCCAAAACACCTGTTTTCCGGCACTCACTACTTAGGGTTAGTTCAAAGGGCATTTTATAGCAAAACACACTAGCTTACCTTGCCGATATGAATCGCAAACCATTCTGGAAGGTAAATGTTATTTTTATGCAAAAAAGGATGGGATACGTTTTTTTTTCTAAACAAACTCAAACATTTCGTATTTGTGAGTAATACGCAGCACAAGATAATAGACACATCCGCATGTGTTTAATTACTCACAAATGCGAAATTTTTGAATTTGCTTAGAAGAAAAAAGGCAACCTCCGATTTTTGCATAAAAATAACATTTGTCTTTCGGAATTGTTTGAGATTCATATCGGCAAGGTAAACACGTGTATTTTGCTATTAAATGCTCTTTGAACGATTTCTGTATACTGCTCAATAAACTAGTAGTGATGACCGAAAAACAGGTGTTTTGGGATAAAGTCTCAAAAGACTACTTGACCATTATACTATAATTTTGTTGTTATTTAGAAGTTTGAATCCTACGGACTTAAAGAATTTCAAGTAGTTGCGTGAAATTATAGTCGCATTACCAACAAGTGCCAAAACCTGCATTTTGCCTCATTTTGTAGATCTCTAAAATACCCAAAAATCTCATATAAAAGCTTTTTTCGTTCCTAACAACACTTTCGCTTGAATCCCAAAAAACACGTTTTCTCATACTTTGTTGTTAAATAAAAAGTTTTTCCACAAGAATTGGTGTACCCTTTTTATGCGTCCATGTTTTAAATACCCCCTTGCACTAATAAAACCAGACTTTGCAATTATTTCGGGGAAACTTGCTAATATGATTAGACTAAATGTAAGAACAGCTTCTAGTTGATTTCATGTCAGGTTAATAATGGCATTTCATGATTATAATATTTAGTCTGTAAGGTCCCCCTTTCCCCTGTATCCCCCTATAGCCCCACGGTACCCAATGGGTGTTTAGGCCTTAGGCCTTCGTGGTAGTTGGAGTATAAAAAAAAAGGTTGATCAACTTTTCCTTTACAAATTGATCTAAAACCTTCACTCTCAGGGACAAGTAAATAATCGCGCTGACTAGCACTTCTTCTATGGAGCTTGGCCAAGTCGAAACAAAACAAAAAAGGCTGACGAGTTCTTCTAGCAGAATCGTTCTACTTATTAACCTGGTAGAGTTAGATGCACTTGATACCAAATTGAAGGAACCAAGTAGTAGTTAAAGTGAGGATCGAATTCTGAAGCCATAAGATTATCAAAGAGTAGGCATTTTGCAATGATTTTCGAAAATTCTAAAATTCACATAGTGAGTATTGCATGAAATTGGAAACATGGAAAAGTACAAAAATTTGAACATACATCAGATAATAGCTTTCATCCGTCCTACTAACAGAAGGCCAACTACGTACAGCGGTGTTGATGCTTATTGGCTATCGTCATCACTGTCTAGCGTCTAGGTCTCTAGGTAGGACAACGCACGAAAGCAGAGCAAAGGTACCATCTATCAGAGGATACGGTTTATCGAAGCGCGATACCACAAGAGATGGCAACTTGTATTGTCGAGTTTTGGTATATACGTTAATAACTAAGAACAACAAGAGTTCAGACAGATTTCCAGGGTCGCCTGCAAGTGGTGGACGACAGGGAACATCATGCACCCCATGGACTTCTCATATTTAGCATTAATTTTGTGTATAATTTAAAGAATTTTTAGAAATTGCGGACAGGTACACTCTTTTCAATGACCGCTCCCCACCCCCGAGAAAACTGTTTATATACGCTATTTATCATACACTTGAAACAATCAATGGCTTGTTTTCTATGCAACTGTCTTGAAGTTAACATTATTCCTATAGTCTAGCTTGGAAAATATTTGCACGCAGTGAATTTAAAGCCCAGTTTCTGTGGAGCAGTGTAGATTTCCGTAATTTGGTGAAGAGAGAGGTGACAAATATGACATATTTATGGATGACTGGCGATGAGGCAGCATGCCAGCGCTGGTAGCGCCACGGCATCGCAATCGGTGTGTTCATGTCCATTGATTGTTTTTGCCGGCCGCGATGGCAAGCAATAACACGTCAGCCTGATTTATTAGGGACGACGGCGATGGCTCGGAAAAATTTCATTTCGCCGAGTGACGTGAGAGCAGAAGCAGTTTTTCCAAAACGACATCACGTCGCTCATCCGCGTGATTTCATGGAAATGTTCACTTAATTGGAACAGTTTTTCCGAACACTTTGTCAAGGATGTACAATCGGGGGCAATAATAAATGCGTGACGCTCTTTCCGTATTAAGGAAAATTTGGAACTGTTGTGATTCCATCCATATAATAATGCCTTCATTTACCCTGGCGCTTAAGCTCTACTTTTCATTTTCAACCAGGCCTAGAATATGATCACAATAATAGATAAACATAAATTTTACGCATCTACAATAATGGACTTAATGCTAAAACGGCCTTAACAGGCTGAATGCCGGGGCGGTCGTATGCGACCGCCCCACACTTGCCTTCAAAATTCATTTACGAGGATGTCTTTTAAGTTTTGCATACAGAAACATAGCAGGCCCCGCGGATCGAACGATAGTACTGAATCTTAACCTCACTATTTAGTAAACTTAAATTCACAACAATACGTGCAGTGTTCTCACTACAGTGAATTTTTAAGTGTCACCAAGTCATTAGAAAAATGGAACTCAACCGAGAACATTTTCGCGCCATAATTTATTACAACTTTCAGAGACTCAAAAAGTGTGTACGGCATTGTTAGTGGTGATGAATCGTGGATTTACTGTTACGAACCAGAAAATAAACGACAGTCGGCTGTTTGGGTGAAGAAAAGCCAGCAAAAGTCTCCGTTCTCGAAGTATTTCGAAAAATATGGTCGCGACATTTGTGTCAAAAGCGGGTCATATTGCAACAATTCCTCTTAATGAGCGAAAAACTGTTACTGCGGATTGGTATACCACCATTTGTTTGCCAAAAGTCATCACCGAGCTTCGAAAAATCAACCCCGAAAGAAGAATCATCCTCCACCAAGACAATGCAAGCTCGCATACAGCCCAAAAAACAAGGCAGTATTTAACGGAAGAAAACGTGGAATTATTGGACCATCCTCCACATAGTCCCGATCTAAGTCCTAACGATTTCTTTACTTTCGCGAAAATTAAAAACAGACTGCGTGGTCAAAGGTTCTAGTCGCCAGAAGAAGCAGTTGACGCATTCAAAAATGCCGTTTTGGATCTTCCAGTGGAATAAGTGCTTCAAAAATTGGTTCGAGCGCATAGAGATGTATATTAATCTTCGTGGAGAATACTTCATTTAAAACTTCCTTCCGTGTTGTTTTATTTCCATATGCAAAACTGAAAAGACATCCCTCGTATGCTGTACCAGAGGTCGTTGATAGGCATATAATTATTATGGCAGAAGACCGCTGTGGCATACACGCACAGCTTAAGTTAGCGGTTGTCGGTGTAACTTACAAAGGAAAGTAAAAATATCTTCGCTTTTTTTATTTTGGCACCAGAGACATTTACTACGATTTTTTATGGCAGTCAACCTGTTAGATACCGTATCACATAGCAATATAGGGAGACAAGACAGCACAAAAACAAAAAAGAAACAGGTTAACTAGGAAATGCCATTGTAACAGGGAGCATAATGAAATATCTGGATTTACAGTGTAAAAGTACATACATCTTCCAAATAGTGCCACAGAAAAAACGCAAATAGGACCATTGCGCCCTATCCGTCTATTCGGAAACTCATTATTTAGATGTTCATGAACTTCTAGTCTAACATGTGGTAGAACCCCATCATGTAGGAACCACATATTCTGTCTCACATCTAATAATTCTTGGTCGAAGAAAATCCAAATAAATTTCCCCGGTCTGTCGAGGCCGAGAAAAGTAGTATCGATAGACCGGCTTCACGCAACCGGACAATTCGACCCCTCTCAAAGTCACTTAGCTGGGCCACCTGGCGAATTCTACGCACTCTAAGCATTTTTAGCAATCACAAAAAGGCTTCTCAATAACCTACACGAAATTTAACATTTAACTGACACCGTAAATGTACGAAAACTGAATACTTCTTTATCACCAAACAATACACACAGCCACCACAAAAACTTAACATGCTCATGGAAAGATAAACCGATACGTAAAAAATTTTTGAATTCTAATAAACATACGTAGGTGTTTACCTTTTACACTTTGTCACTCAGTATAGTTCTGGCTGTTGTATTTTATATGTCACTTAGCACAAATATATTCCTAAAATTATAAATTATTTTTAGCTTACTGTAAGAATTTTGAACTAGCCTCGTTACCTGTTCGTGAAAAGTAAGTTTTCGTTAAAAATCACACCCACATTGCGTATATTTGCCATATGCCGCAACGTCTCCCCATTAATCGACAATCGAGTGCTCGTACTATCAAACTGAATAGCTTTAGATTTAAAGATGATAATTGCTGTCATTTTTACATTAATAACTAACCCTTGATTGGTAAACCAAGTACTTGCATTAAAACTATCATTTGATTTTTTGCTTGCTAAAAATCGTTAGGGTCGTAGGACATGTGTACTCACTGAATTGAATCAGTTACGTCACAAGGTCAAATAATGACAGTGACGTACATAGTTGTCACATTAATTAAAACTACTATATCCCAGGAAATAAACCACAAATAAGCAACAGCCGTTGGCCTCATTTCCTGACAAGCTTTGCGACAATGTCACAATACAGAAAACTATTACCAACATAAATGTACCCGGGAAATTCAAACTATACGTACCAATTTAGGATCTATTTTACTATTTACTAAATATGAGGTAACTGCTTTGTTCCAGTGAAAGGACTATACGTATACAATGTGTTTGGTCACGACATACCGATATTTAAGGGGAGTATTTTTCAGCTATTTTTATCGACAAATCCACTCCCCCTGCAATGTCCTACCTCACCCCTCTTGAAATGGCATCCATTTCTATTTTTACGTTACTATTACGCTAGTGCATGTATGAAAATTGTAATAACTAAACACAACGATAAATTTGGTATCAATTGAACAATAGCATGTTGTTCTAGCGATTGCTGAAAAACTTGTATTTACTCGTATATTAACCGTCAAACATACTTAAAAACAGACAAAACCTGAAAAAAATATGCAAGAAAATTGATTATTTTGTGCATTTCCGCACACCATTCAAAAAGTAGTTTGTAAAGTTGTATTTTTTTGTGCTAATTCTACAGCTAACTATGTTATCTACAAAATGACACCAAATTTGTTATCCTAAGTCTAACACAACGATAAATTTGGTATCAATTGAACAATAGCATGTTGTTCTAGCGATTGCTGAAAAACTTGTATTGATACTAACCGTCAAACATACTTAAAAACAGACAAAACCTGAAAAAAATATGCAAGAAAATTGATTATTTTGTGCATTTCCGCACACCATTCAAAAAGTAGTTTGTAAAGTTGTATTTTTTTGTGCTAATTCTACAGCTAACTATGTTATCTACAAAATCCTAAGTCTTCTACGTTAAGTAATAAATGCTATCTAACATGCGTCAAGGTATACATAAAAATGACAATTCAAAGTTTTTTATAAATAGTTCAATGTCACAAAAAATTCTATGGACAGACTTAGCAAAATTTACGATGCAGAGGGGATCATAAACCATAGAAACGACCACTTGTGGTCTTCAAAAACCGCTCACGCAGTTCGACAGCAACAGGAATTTGATGTAAACATGTGGGCCCGAATGATCGACGGAGTTTTAGTCTGCCCAGTTGAGCTACCTCCAAGGTTAGATGGCCAGGGATTTTTGGACTTCCTGAGTACCGAGTTTTCAGATCTACACCACTTATTAACCACCGCAACATATGGTTTGAGCTCCCACACGCTTTTGCGCTAGAACATTTGGATATGCAACATTCTCCATGGACAGGACCTGGAGGCACTGTCGCTTGGCCACCCCGATCACCCGATTTAACGCCCCTAGATTATTTTTTAATGAAGGAAAAAGTCTACTGTCATGTGTCGACGACACGGGATGAGCTCGTGGAAAGGATCAGTACCGCTGCGAACGAAATTAGAGCTGACACGGATATGACCCGCTGCTCAACACGACACACAATTTTCTTGCATATGTTTTCTGTTTTGTCTGTTTTTAAGTATGTTTGACGGTTATTATCAATACAAGTTTTTCAACAATCGCTAGAACAACATGTTATCGTTCAAATGACACCAAATTTATCATTATGTGACTCTTATGTTCTCAGTTATTACAATTTTCATACACGCACTAGCGTAATCGTAACGTAAAAATAAAAATGGCAGCCATTTCAAGGGGGGTGAGGTAGGACATTGTAGTGGGGTGGATTTGTCGATAAAAATAGCTGAAAAATATCCCCTTTAAATATCGCTGTGTCGTGTAGAAACGTATTGTACATGTATATATCCAATTTGAAAACTGGCAGTGACGTTTCCCAAAATATGGCAGAAATTATCGCTAAAGTAGCTAAAGCAACATGAGCATCAATTGCCAATATTACTCGCATTGTTAAAAAGGTTAAGGATGCCGGATGGACAAGAACGAGCAGCGTTTTCTGGTGAAATTAGTACTGCACGAAAGCACAAATTTCCCGTGACAGATATGTCAAACGAGAATTCCACTACTGCAGATATAAGAAACATCTATAATTTCCATTCAACAAACAAGTCTCGAGTAACAATCTGAGCGCTTAGGAAGAAACTGGAAGAAGATTCCGATTGGCATGGTAGCGAAAGATCTTTGGGAAGAATCGTTAAACAACTCGGCTTCAAATGTCAAAAAACACAATAGAAAACTACTCATCAAGAAATAGGACAGTCGTCAACTAGGACTCAGCATTCGTCAACTAAGAATCAGCTATCTACAGAAAATTAAGTACTTCCGAGCACAAGGCCGCAAAATTATATACCTATAGTCAACGCCAAACAAAGTGGCGTGCACGTCATCACGATAAAAATTCCCCGACCTAATGCCTAGGTTTCTATCACAAACAATTGCTCTATTGCAGTTTCATATTAATGTGATATATAAATTGTAAAATGGTCATTACTCTCTTATTATGGTTAATAGTCATATAAACATTGTTATTAAAATCTCACATAAGTTGCTTTCTGATAAATTTAGACGCATTATGCGAAATAAAATGTTTTGCAAACGCTCCAATCACTTATCGACATGTAAACGCACTAAACCGATTTCGCAGCGTTGACACATTGTCACCTTGAAACTTATTTAAACTGGGAACTGACATTTGTATTAATTTTGACACTGAATCAATTTGTGGCATTTCAAATCTTTATAAATCCTTTGGCCCCGCATACTGTAAATCAACAACTGTTTGTTTCAAAACAATATTATTCATTTTACGAGTAGATAAAGGCAATTTTGATATATAAAGATGCCCAAACAGTTAAATAGTCGGTGTAAGGAACTCGTGGCCTCGTTAATGCACTACTTTGAGCAAGAAAGGGACAACAACGGGCCTTTGTTGCCTTTAAATGCTGTTCAAGAGGTAGGTTACTAATAATTATATGTAATGTATATTAATAATAGTGAAATTTTATTTCATTTTTTGTAGCGTGTTGCTGCTGCTTTAAAAATTAGTTTAAGGACAGTTAGTCGTATTTCCGAGGGTGTGAAGAGTGATGCAAATTTAGAATCGCCCAAGAAAAAGCGGAGTTATATTAAACGTGTAACCAACACAGCGACATTGGATACAAGTGCCATTCGAGAAGTGATCTATAATATGGATCACAAAAGTAAGATCTTATTATAATAACTTATCAGAAATTTGCATTAATTTGTTAACTAAATTATAATGTCATATTACACATGGTTTCAGAAGAACAAGTTACGATACAAACTTTATGGTCTCGATTAAGAGATAGGGCATTATTTGATTTAAGGCGGTTGCTTAGAGATCTTGGATTTAAGTGGCTTAAGGACAATCCGCGACGAGGGCTCATGGAACTACCAAGTATAGCTTTGAAAAGGGTGGAATTTCTAAGGCAATACAATCAAGCCAAGGTTGAGGCCTTATACCAGTTTGTCTTCCTCGATGAAACTTGGATATTTCAAAATGGGACCATAGGTCGCTCTTGGCAAAATGGAAACAAAAAAAGCGTGAAAGCTATTAAAACAGATGGTAAAAGGTATGTACTTTTACACAATTTGCACTATAAAATTTAAAACTAATATATTTTAGATACATTATATTACATGCTGGAAATGAAAATGGGTTTATTGAGGGTAGTGAAGCGATATTTTCTTCGAAAACAAAATTGAGCGATTACCATGGAGAGATGAACCAGGACAATTTTTTGAAATGGTTTCAACATCAGTTATTAGAAAAATTGGAGAGTCCATCTATGATTATACTGGATAACGCCCCTTATCACAGCATGATATTGAACAAAGTGCCCAACAATGCATGGACAAAAAAAAATATCCAAGACTGGTTGACAAATCAAAACATACCATTTTTAAACACAATGTTTAAAACAGAGCTATTGAGTATTGTTGCTCGGTACATAATGCTTCTTAATTATATATATTTTGGTCGACAGTTTATATTTCTTTTGTTTATTCCTATTCTTAAAATAACTGCTTTTTTAGAAACAAACCACCTAAAATATACGTGATTGATGAATTGGCGGAACAACATGGGCACAAAGTTCTTCGTCTGCCTCCTTACCATTGTATATTTAACCCTATTGAGTTAATTTGGGGCATAGCAAAAGGTTACTATAACAGACATATTGGTAGAGATGGTAACAGTGAAAAAGACTGTTTGGATATGTGGAACGAGGCTCTACAAACGGTTACCCCAGACATGTGGAAAAATAGTGTTCGACATACTGAGCAAGTAATTTTTAAATGGTATGAAAGAGAACGAATTTTTGATCGACCAGACATCGAACCTTTAATAATCAACTTTGAGAGTGATGAAGATTCAGATTCAGACAGCGCTGAAGAAAGAAACTCCGACTAACTTTATTGTACAGAAAAAGCTTACACCAGTAGCTTACCTAATTTTAGAATGCATTTTTCTGTATGAATTCTGTAAAATTGCAAAATATGGAGGACCTCATTTGGATTTTTATTCAGTACCTTTAAGCTATCAATTGAATATGGTAGTTTCATAGTGTCATCTGATCAATAATTGTCATACTTAATGATTATGCAAGTACAGATCTATAATTTTATTATACTATTATTTTTGTTCTCATTTGAGGTTAATATTGCTTATAAACCTAGATATGTAAATAATAAATTTTATTATTTTACAAAAAGTTTGGCAACAATGTAAATTTTTCAACACACCCACCTTGATGACGTCCACGCCACTTTGTTTGGCGTTGACTATAGATGAGTTCTAAATACATGCCGAACATACTAGGGCTAAATGTTGGGTTGATGGTAGTAAGTGGGGTCTCTTTTCCAAAATTTTCAAAGGAAAGCGGCTAATTATGATCCATGCTGGTAGTTCCGACGGCTTCATAAATGAAGGTTTATTTTTTTTTAAATCCTGTACAAAAAGCGGAGATTATCATGACGAGATGAATAGCTGAAATTACGACAAATGGTTGAAGCAGCAGCTTATTCCAAATTTGCCACCACATTCTGTGATAGTTACTGATAATGCAGCTTCTCACAGCATAGAAGTGGATCCTGCACCAAACTGCAACGCTCGTAAGCAAGTAATTTTTGACTGGCTTGAATCTAAAAATACTAGATTCACACCGACTATGCTGAAACCACAAAATAAACAACAATTCATACAATATAAATATGATGTACTTTTAGGCATGCATGGACACGCAGTTATACGACTACCTCCATATCATCCCTATTTAAATCCTATTGAATTGTTATGGGCTACAGTGAAGAACAGAGTTGCAGATCGAAATATCACATTTACTTTAGATGACACACAGCGAATAGCGGTGGAGTAATTTTCAAAGATTACACGAGATGATTGGAAGAAATGATGTGATCATGTCATCAAAATTAAAACGGAATATCTGGAATGGGAACATAAAGTAGACGTCACATCTGAAGAGTTTATTATTAACATCGGGGATGATGACAGCGATAGTGACAGTGATGTGGAAGATAGCGAGTCCTTACTCTCCTAAAGAAATGTAGCAGGCGTCTACAAGCAGGATAATGACTTACACTTTATATTTTGCAGCTTAAAGGTTAATATCCTATTAGATATAGGGGAAAGGTCCCTATATTGGACCACCTAACAGTAATCGCGTGTAAAATCGAAATACGTCACTTAATTCACTTAATAAAAATTGATGTAATTCTTGGGACTATTATCAAACTTTTACTTCTGTAGAAATAATTCTAGGTTTATTAGTCTTATAAAAAATTAAAAAAAGAAAATGACATTTGGTCCAATTTAAGATACCGGTCTCCTAATTTGAACCACCGGTACCCTAAATTGAACCGTGAATCATTTTCTATTATTTGAAAAGAGAACATTTATTAAAATCATCCAAAGCTCGTACAAAAAATATAAACAGTTTTTTAAACACCAGTCACAAAAATCAAACGTTATTCTGAACACTGAAAACAACTATGTAGGAAAAGTGAGTTGTTTTAATGACAAGTTGATAATACTAAAAGAACTGAAACATTTTAATTTTAATGAAACTTCCTAAAACAGGAACATATAATTAGTCGCTATCTGATGATGATTCACAGTTGATACATTCATAGAAATTAACATTTTTTCCACTGATACATTTAAGATGCGACCATTTTTTACAAATACTACATTGAATCCATTCTTCGCCTGGATTCGATTTAGAATATGGAAATAAACAAACAAGGCATAGACAATCTTCGTCCTCCGATTCAGATTCGCTTGACGTTCCATGTTGTAGACTTCGTCTCTTTGTAATAGGTCTCTTGTTATCGAGTTTGGACGACTTTCCTTTACTGGTAGTTTTTGCAGAAGAAAATACATTTCTGGTGGCTGAAGAAGCATCAATTTTTTTGAGTTGTTTTTTTTCAAGATCGTTCTTGTATGGACTATCTGTAATAATTGTAGTAGAAGACAAGGCCAGGTTACGCGATTTTCTTTTCAAAATGGGCACAGGTGATACTTCGGAAACAGATTTCCTTTTGGGCAGCTCACTACTTGATTTACCTTTTGTGTTTAGCAAACAGGATGTTGAAGTGGATGCAAGTGGATTGGAATAATCAATGTTAGTCAACTGTGAAGCGCTCTGAATCACTTCTTCGGTTATCTCCGAGTTTACTTGATTTTTAAACGAAGTGGTACTAACATACTAGTACTGGTAGATAGACAAACGTATTCGCTATCATCAAACACATTTGGGTCCAACGGCCATATTCCACATTTGGCAAATCCACTTAGAGCATTCCCAACAGATGCTGCTTTAGCATATGCTTCCCCAAGAAGCGCCGATACCTGAAACTGGGTTATATTTTGGCTTGGATTTGTACGAAGCCATTTATCAGCTGCTTGATTGTAATACGAGTTTAGGGGCTTGAAAAAAGAGACATCACAGGGTTGCAGTCGATGTGTTGTGTGAGATGGTAGGGACAGCATTACAATTCCATGCTTTCTGGCAAGTAAAATGGCCTCTAGGTTTTTTGTGTGAGTGGTGTGCCCATCCAGTATTAAGAGAACTTTCCTATCAGTAGATGGTTTCGCAAAACTAATAAAATGTTGCAACCATTTAACAAACAGCTCACTAGTTATCCAACCTGACTCTGAACATGCAAATTCTGTTCCTGGAGGGGCGCCTGCCTTCAGTTAATCTTTAAATCTAATGCGCTTGAAAATAAGCATTGGCGGTACGTAATTGCCAGCAGCGTTCAAACAACAGACACATGTCGTATTTACACCTCGCTCTCCGCTCGTAAGTGCTCCTATTTGATGTTTTCCTTTCTGTGCAATAATTTTTTGAGGCCTCTGAACCGTAGAGAGGCCAGTCTCGTCTACATTATAAATGCAAGATGGACTGAAATTGTACTCATTATAGAGAGAAGTAAGGCAATCAAAAAAAGCCTTGACTTTTTCTTTGTTGAAACCTGTAGCCCGCGCTGCTGAAGTAGGCTCTGGTTGTCGAAGAGATAGCTCTTTATGCCTGGACATAAAGCAGTAATACCATTTCTTGCCGGCTTTACCGTTTTTAAATCTATGTAAAATCCCATTAGCTTCGGCGACATCATAGGCAAGTTTTCGCAAATCATTGCGAGTGATTCCAAACAAGCTTCTTTCTAGCTCCAATACATGGTTAACTATTTCATTTTCAATTTCTAGGGGAAGATCCGTAGAACGTCCGAATTTTTTTTCGCATCCATGCACATTTTTGTTTGTATCGTCAATTCTACGTTTCAGAGTAGCTTTAGGAACTTTATATCTCCTAGCGATTTCATTTAAACCGGCAACATTATTTTCATAGGCATTAAGGGCTTCTTGCATGCTCGTCTCGCTCCACTTTCCATACTTTCCCCGTTGAGATATAGTATTCAACTGAAAAAAAAAGGTTGCTTAAATTGGACCGGTTCAAATTAAGAAACTTCATGTGGTCCAATTTAGGAAATCATAACCTCATTTCAATTTTTGGCTCTAAAAAAGTTGTTTTCACTTAAAATCAAATTAACTGCTTAATGACTGTTCAGGAAAATGATGGCTAAATATATATAAACTGACGGATATACAAAACAACTTACCAGTTAAAAACTACAGCTTAAGAAATTCACTTGAAAAATTACATCAGCCGGCATAAAACTTAACAACATGTGATACCTTCGATATTACTAGCAACACAGGTTTCTTTTTCCACATACAGACTGGACTACGCGTAAGCTATGATTGATAGGCCATAGATGGCGCCTCGAATTACCGTTTGTGAATTACAGATGTGGTCCAATTTAAGAGACGGTCCAACTTAGGGACCTTTCCCCTATTCATGTTTCGGATATATTTAGGCTTTCAAACTGTTCTGAACCTTCTTTAACCTTCTTATATGAAGCTGCGGACTTATGTAAATAGTTTTTTGATTGATTCGTATTAATTCTGTTTTGGGTAATCGCCACAATACTACTTTGTACATATGTATCTAATAATAATATACATGTAATTATATGAGTAATAAATATAGCGGATACAAATGTTTCATTATTGACCTAAGCGCAAACAAAGTTAATGTTTTTTTCTAATTAAGCTGATGGTTCACTTTACTTGAAGACACTTCCTCAAATTCATATGACCAGCGTGAAAAATTTCAAAGCACGTCACTGCGAAGTGAAACAATAACATGACATTAAGTACAACCTTCCACCATATCGAGTGTTTCTATTGGCTTTCACTTTCAGGATTAGAAGATATGCCTGTCAGAGAGTAAATCTTGGTAGGTGCCGGCAACTGTATCTGTGTATCGTCTGCGTAAATATGCACAGGATTGTATTTAATGGCAGTTGGAAGTCTAAAAGGTATAACGAAAATAGAATAGGACCCTTCTTCTGTGTCCAAATGACTAGACCTATACCGCACGAATGATTGCTGAAAAGCATGAATAAACGTTGCATACTGCATATAGTTATAGTCGTAGAGACAACAAGCAACAAGATCTCATTCTCATTCATCTTATGTGTAAGTTCTTCAGAAAAAAGTCTGCCAAGCTGTAATACTTTACTTGATACAAAAACATCACTACGATACCTCAATATACAGGGTGTCCGCAAAGTTGGGGTTTTCCTTTACACGACGTGTAGATCTTTTTCTTAGTACCATATACACCAATGTCTTAAGGGAACCGAGATAAAGGGCTCTGCAACATCAAAAATATCTGAATACCGTCCTGTAGCCGCGACATCTCCGAGTGGTACAAAGTCACTGGCTCAACCCGACGACAGAACTGGGTCGGGGTCAGTGTGTCAGGTCAGTATGCAACCTTCAACCGACGGTTACGGTCACGCGTGTAGAGGTAAACGAACCCGTATAATCGATTGCGTTTCAGAAAACAACAAGCACTAGAAACGTGGCTAGAGAAGTGCAAGTATCAAAAACTAAAGTGTGGCAAACGCTGCGTGAAGAGGGGCTGTATCCGTTTCACGTCCAATGTGTACAAGCCCTTCAACCTGATGATTTTCCAGCAAGAGTGCTGTTTTGTGAGTGGTTGTTGCATTAACATGACAATAATCCGGACTTTTTGAAGTGCATATTGGTGACAAACGAATCTACGTTCACGCGTAATGGGGTGAATAACTTTCGCAACACTCATGTTTGGTCAGTAGAAAATCCGCACGCTGTCCGTCGGGCACATTTTCAACAAACATTTTCGGTGAATGTTTGGGCTGGCATGGTGAACGGTATGCTCATTGGACCATTTATTCTCCCAAATCGATTGGACGGGATGCAATACCTAGACTTTTTACGCAAAATTTTGCGTTCCTTGTTAGAAGATGTGCCATTAAGTGTAAGACAATCAATGTGGTTTCTGCACGATGGTGCACCGCCCCATTTTAGACGCGAAGTGCGTGAGTTTTTGAATGAATTATTTCCGAATAGGTGGATCGGACGTAATGGACCCGTAGCGTGGTCTGCACCACCGCCGGCGTCTGCTCGGTAGCGCATCAGCTGATTTCATTTTCTGTTGGAGCGGTATGATTTCGGGCAGAGACGTACTTAGCCCTTCTCGTCAACTGGAGAGTGAGTACTTTTTCCTTTATTTTTTTTTACTTGGTCGCCCTCGTTTCACTACACATTACCTTTGTTATTTCAAGGGTAGTTGTTTCTGAAAAGGAAAACCCCAACTTTGCGGACACCCTGTATTGTTTGCTGCAAAAAAAAACACGAAACTGGCCGTAGGTCGGTTTTGCATTAACTGGTGGCTAGCAAGTACCAATGAACTCATAAGTTAAGCTAAATATACCAAACTATATTACGAAAGACAAACATTGGTTCACATTAGAGTTATTACATATCCGCTTGGCGCATCGGAGCTCAAACATGTCTCGACCTATTGAATAACAAATCGAATTAAAGTGGTAGTGGCTGTGTCGGCCATCCGGAAGGGCCAATGGCCATTGGTAAGGGCCATCCGCATCGGCTGGCAAGGGAAATTATCGGCAATTAGGAGTAATTACTGGATGTGGAAGCACTGCAACTGTGCTGGCGACGCCACCAGGCGACTGCTGAATATTTAAATATCCTGGAATTGTTATAGATTGGACACGGCGCCAGTGAAAATTGTGCCGGAAAAAGGACCAGCGGCTTAATAGCTGAAGCTTTCTTTATAGGTCTAGACATCAGAAGCAGCACCACAAAGTTACATGCTTCTAGAGGTTTATCACACAAAGAATATGTGTGAAGTTAGATCATTTGGCTAAGCGACTATGGCCACTTGCCAAACGGTTCTTCGATATAATAATAAAAATTAAAATAATAAGAGTATTTTTATTTGGGCGCAGTTTAGCTTAAGCTGTTCCTCCAACCAATCCATAAAAAAAGAAATACAAACATGAACAAGATAGATACGTGCTGATTAGTATTTTTAATTTTAGCACTGTGAAAGCCGATTCGTGATATGTTTTTTAAAGCTATCAAATATTGAAGATTCAATTTCGAGGGCTAATGATATAGATACATGGCATCAGAAGGGAAGCTTTTATTGAAACATGAAGTTCTGTTGATAGTCATGATGAGTGTATTTGGAAAGCGGACATCTCTACATACGATTTATTAGGTTTTTCTTCAAAAATTTTGTAACATTCAACCAACCTAGTGTGGTCGTACTTTTTCAAGTTTTCTACTAATCTACACCAAGAATTTGAATTTTTTGTAAGCGTTTTATGGATGCAGAATCTAAAAATGAATGGTAAACAATATCGTAGTATGTAATGCTTGAAACGATCAATGATCCGCATAGAATTTTCTTAGTTTGGTAGTCTAAAACTTGTTTAATGATGGTGAAGTACTGAAAAACAGTTCTTAGTAATATGATTGACATGTGGAATAAAATTGGTTACTCTCAATTAAACCTCAAGTTGCGTTTAGCTTTATGCAGTGAATAACCATGATGTGAATGTCAGTATATGTCATGACCACTATCTACCATGATCCGCGAGCAATTACCCTGGAATTTGATATTTATTGATGGTGTAGCCGAGACGTTAATAAATTATTAGTGATGCATAAGGTTACGTAGAAATCCACTGACACTGGCGGATTGATCGGTAAATACTGATCGTCTAACATTCGCGTCGTAGCTGTAGAATTAAAATTTTAAGAAAATGTCCACTTTAAAACATTTATGATTGCGTTCAGTTATGTACACCGTATAGCTAATTATCCGCAAATGTTGTGAAATTACACTGTTTTATGCTTATTAAATATTCAGAACTCTCCGTTCTTCGTCATAGCTTGTAATTTCCATTTTTATCCCAGCATGCAACCTTTACTAAATTACCGTTCTTTAATCTTTCACCGCATCTAATAATTTGGCCGGACTTTGGTAAGCTTCAAAATATAGGGTTCCTAATAAAGTTGTGAGAAACTTACGACACAAAGAATGGGAAGACTGGGCTGTTTTTATATGTTGCATGTTAATTTGCTCCATACGTAGTATGTATATTCAAGATATCTAACAAGGAATGGGAAATTCTTTAGTTATAGTTTGCAACTCGAGGTACAAAACAGCTTACCTAGAGCAGTGGTCGCCAAACCGTCGATCGCGAGCTACCGGTAGTTCGCAAAGGCAATTCTGGTGGCTCACAACATATTTTAATAAGGTGTAAAAATCATAGGCAGCGGCAACAATGCGGTGAGCGATCTGTTCGAGAACGATCTCGACTACTTTGAACAAAGTCCATCGGTTTGGTTAGAGTTGGCCTGCAATTAAAAACATTACGAGCAGCAGTATGAAGATGAAGCCGTACCATTTCCATTCAGAATAGAGAGAACAATATTTCTTTACAGAAGTTAAAGGTAAAAATGTATGTTTGTCATGTAATACATCTGTTTCCGTTGCTAAAAAAGAGTATATCGAGAGGCACTATAAAACTGTATATTCGAATTTTGAAAAATCATTACGTTCTGCAACGAGAACGGAAAACTGAAACAGTTAGAAAATCAGTTAATTGGACACCATACAATGTTTTTAAAAACAATCAACAAAAGTAAGGCTGCAACAGATCTCGTTGAAACCTCTCAGATGGCCGTATTCGTCAGGATGGTTTTTAGTGATTTTACGATTAAAGAAGAACTTTTGAAGTTTATTCCACTAAAAGGACAGACTACTGGGCAGGACTTGTTTTCTTCTTTTAAAAATATTATTTCTTCTGAGAAAATTCCAATTTCGACAATGGTAGGCTTGACAACCGATGGTGCTCCAGTTATGGAGGATCGTGATAAGGGTCTCGTGGGGTTATGTCGTAAAGATGAAAGTTTTCCGCAATTTCTCTGTAGCCACTGCACCG